AAAGTGATTGATGATGTAGAGTGTGCCTAAGGAGAGTCACATCGAGAGAAAACCCTCTCTCTGGCTTTCACAGAGAGCACATTGGCCAAGCAATGGCCGTGACTCATCCACAGGGCTGCACTGACAAAGGTTCTACAATCTGAGGTACAGGATCTCAGGATAAATCCTTAGGGAATTTCACTGGCCTTCTCAGACCCAAAAGCTACAACTCTTGTTGCACAGGTCCTGCTTTACCTTGGTCTTAACCATCCAGTAGAAAGGTATGAAGAAGAAATATTGGAAGTAAAGGCATGCTGTTATGTTGAGCTGTGGGGGACCCCGGTCAATTATTTCTGACATTGCCAGTTAAACAGAAGACCCAATGTTATTATGGGCTGCTGGACTCTTTTAGAATATTTTGCTGAGTTTACACACCTGTAATATTCAATAACGGGACTTAGAAAACATAGGGTATACAGATGAATGTTCATTTTGTATCCGTGCATTCAAAGTGGTTAGGATAGATATATAGTTGCATTCTCTTAATGAATAGAATGATTTGTTATAATGGTGTTTGTAAATAGGATCTGAAGTCCGCATCTTGTCCAGCAATTAACCACTAAGAAGAACATTTGCAGTGTGTTATTTCTTGAATCTGTACTTCCCATTTGATTTGAAACTGTCTCATTGCTATCTGTTTATCAATAAAATTTTGAAAAAAACCAAGAAACTTATATTCATATAATTACAATTCTCAAAGTAGATAGGAGTAGGCAATAACTATTTAAAAATTTAAAATTTCTGAATTTAGTTCAACTTATCATACCACACTTCAAAGAAAAATGATCCTTTTGCAAAGACAGTTTAAGTGTGTTTAAAAAACTAGATTAATTAAAGGACTGAAAGAAAAAATATAGGCATTTCTCATGCACTTCTGAGGTCAGAACATTGGTAGAATCTGCAAACAGGATAAAAATAAGGTGTTTTATTTCCATATGTTTTCAATATATGAAAACATATGGAAATATGTTTTCAAATCCAGGCGCTATGGAACAATCTGAGGGACAGTATAAATTTGGAAAAATTTTCCACTTCCAGTTTCACTGGGCTTTGTTATTGTGTTCACTGTTGCTCCCTAAGTCTAGGAAGTTAGTAATCACTTCCTGATCTTAGAAGGGAGTGCTTGTTTGTTGATTGATAGAAACAAATATGATTTCCTGTCCTTCTGCAAGGAGGAGCCCTTTGTAAGGCTAAAGACTGATATAGCTCATGTGTGCTCAGGGACTCTTCTTCCTTGGAGGCCAGCAGCGATCATTAGGTATAGGGTGAAAAGAACTCAGGTGGCTCAGTGACCAATGGTCCCAAAGTATATAAGAGGACACAGGGGTGAGGGGCCCTGCTCAAGTGTGAGGTAGGCCCATGTGTTTGGACAATGCATCTTGCTCTTGATGGGCTTGCATGGAACTACTTGTGGTTCTGGATTTCCTAGGTGAGGGGAATTGAGGAAGGAATAACACCACATTCTTGTGACCTAGCAAGGACAGGACTGTGTGGGTCATGACAACTATGAGAGGACATAAAACAGAATGTACAGCCTGGTGGCTATAGACCTAAGTTAGCCTTGGTCTTAGAGGAGAAAGGGGAAAAAAACAAATTTCATGTGAGAAGGTAGTCGCTGAGGATACTCCATAGCCCATTTATCTCTAAACCAGTGGGAGAGAAATGTCTTGTTCAGGAAAATCCTACCCTACTCAGTATGATGAGATTCCATGGTGACCTGAGGGGTGCCTGACAGGTCTGTGATACTGAATAAATTATTCCCCTTCCTCTTTTCTATGTTACACATGAAGAGGTCACATATTGATCCAGAGACTTAAGATTAAGTGCTGTGCATGTTTTCTGATGATGATGCTTAGGATTTTTCCTGGCAAAGGGGGAGAATGTGGGGAAACTAAAACAGTTTATAAGGAACTGGTCAACAGCTTTGAGTGGGGGTTTTGAATGTATTAAGTGAATAAGGAAGGGAAGAGGCAGAAATCAATAGAATTGTATCACTGACTTTCTTAGCATGCAGTTGGTCTCAGTCATTGAAAGATATTAAATAAACAAAAACCAGCCTTTTCACTGAGATGGGACATTATTTTAATTGCTGGAATCTTCTCTAGATCAATTCTGGGCTCAGCTCCAGATTGCTCAGAGGTGGGACTGTTTTTGTTCCCTGCAGTCAGTGATGCTTCATGGTTTTCTCTATCCAGTCTAGATAAGGTGAGAGTTTTGTGTAGACACTTAGAGGTTGTCCATTTGTTTTAGCATAGGAGGCAATGGCTTGAAGCACATTATTACACATGAAGGGACCTCCAGTGTCACCCTGTAAATAGAGAGTGAAGCTGTGAGGCAGTGTACATCCTGGACTTGTCCTTTCTCATATCTGAAACTTCTTTTGAAATACTACCCATATTCATGTCATATGGTGAGAGATAAAAGGGAAGACTAGCCCTTGGCCCTTAGCAACCAAGCTCTAACTGTGGACAGTGTTCATGCTTTACCTCTCTCTTGGGTTCAGTCTTTCTCCTTACCCCAGTTCCTGGGGTCTATCCCTGTAGAGTCCTATGGGAACACTGCTTTCAGGCTACTGTTTAAGTATATATAGAGAGATGAGTGGGCCAAACAGGGAGCAGAGTGGACGGGCCCATTGACCAAGAGGGTCAGGAGACTATGAGAAGTTGATTGATTATAATTACTGCACAGCCAGGGAATGGTTTCTAAAGCCAGCATGTGAGTTTAGGCAGTGCATTGCCAGTTCCTTCTTCCAGAGGGGCACTGTTCACCAGAGGTCACTTGGTGAAGTGGTGGAAGCCTCAGTTACCTCCCACTTCAGCCTGCTCCCTTTTCCTCTTTCCAAGGAGAACTATCCCAATGTTCTAAGTGAGAAAGCCCTGCTGCTTTGGTCTCCTGATACTGAATCTTTCCCAAACACTCTTTCTCCCAAATCCCAGAGCGATAGATGCCCCATCTTACCTTTCCAACATTTTTTAGAAACTCTGGGTCCCCAGCACAGATTTGAGTGGCACTGTCATAATGGCTAAAGTGTTTCTTGCACTTCTCATCCTTCTGCACTGTTATTTCCACCTCCTGCAGTATGTCTGAGCTTTTACCATCAGGGCACAACTGTCCCCATCCAGCTACTTCACACACAGAACCTGGCATCACACGGGTTTCTTCCTTGGGCAGTTCTAGAATTTGCACCTCTTCAGTCAGCTTGGCCTCTTCCTTCAGCTTTTGGGAAAAAGTAAGAGGGTCCAGATAAGCTTGTGCCTTCTGGGCTTGGACACTGTCATGGACATGATGGCAAAGAGGGAAGGCACAGGCTCTCTGTGCAGTGAACAACACTGCGTGTCAAGAGGAAAGAAGCAGGAGGTGTTCCTTACCTCTAGCAACATGATGTCATTGGTGTATACTGTAGGATTGTAGTGTGGGTGTGGGATGGATCTTTTCACATGTATCACTTGCATGGTCTTCTCCTGTTTCTTAATGTTGTGGGCCCCAAGAAGGACAATTATTTTCAGATGATCTGAGTACACATTACTGCACAAAGAAGAGAATGGGTTGAGGAATGTGAAGCATCATTAGACCCACAGGAACTATAAAGGGTAGGCTATCACTGCTACATGTTTGAATTCCAGGTAACACGAAGGTCATCTGTTCAAGTGACTACACCCTCTGATTCTTAGTAACACAAGGTGAAATTTTGGAACCAAGACAACAGAATTTCTTAGGGATCAATTACTTCCAAGGAAGTACATAAAAAGTATTTCATTGCTATGCCAAGGCATAGGCCTAGATCTTAATACCTTCCTCTGGTCTTTACAATGTCAGCAATTTTGTGAATGCTAACACGCCTGTCTCTCTTTGGGACATTACTGGCTCTTTCTCACCCTCAAAGTACTTTCTTGATTGTGTGTTTCCAGGAGCTCAGGGACCTTGATGGGAGCAGGACATCAGAAAAGTATTTGCCTGAGACTGTGGACTGTTTTCCTTTCCTCACCTGTTGTATAAGCAGCGGGCAGCAGTCAGGACAAACTTCTCATGTATTAGCAAGCCACCACACCTATTGGTACTGGTATCAATCTTGATTAGAAGGAAGGCCATATATGGGCGGGAGTGGGGTTTGGCCTCATGTCCCCCGAGGATCTCCCCTGAAAGAAAAACACTTTGTCAGCTGCCACTAGGTAATTGCATGAACATCTGCTTGGTGGCTCCAAAACCGCTGAATGTTTGTCCACCTGGGATGCTCTGGACCTGAGAAGAACCTGGAAGGAGGTGACTCAGCTTTTTTTGCATAAGGTGAGAAATCCGGTCTTGGTCTCAAAATCTATCCATAAAATTGAAGATTAACATACCTTTGTGTGGACAATAAAATCCTAGAAGCTTTTCATAAATCCTCTGCTCTCTTCTCATTTTCATGAGTACCTAAAACTCTACAAGGCCTGATGGCTAGGATGGTGATGCTTCCTACTGGCAGGGCTTCAGGTATATTCTAGATGTTGTCTGATCCTCTTTTCTAGGGTCGCTCAGGTAGTGGGTGCCTCAGAACCCTTAACAAGCTGTGAGCAATTAGCTACAGTCAGTCTCTGAAAAAAGGTTAGTAGGATGGTGTTCATGGAATTCTGGTACCAGGGAATATCAAACATCTTAGGCATAACAGGGAACAGGTATTTTCTGCCAAGTATTGATATGTTAAACTTTAAGTCCCTACAGAACATGGAGATAAAAATTGAAAAATTGAAAAATATTTAAAGAATATGAATAAACAATTACATATTTTTACACAGAAATTTAGAAATCGTACCATATACAGCATTGTAGCAGGAGATTCCAGTGACATTTTTTTCCTTGGGTCTTTTTTTCATTATTTCATTATTACCCATTTTTTGGAAAAAAGAAAAAAAAAACCTTTTACTTGAGAGACAGTATGTTAATAATTGGTATGTCATGCAAGAAGTACTTATTTAGAAGACCATAATGACAGGCATTCCAAGTGTGACCCTTCTATTACACATTGTTATCTTCACTGCAGTTGCTTGGCTCACAGGTATCAGCATGTATAGTTAGTCATGGTGAGAATCCTACCAATTTACTGCTAGTTTCAAAAACCTGCTGATGTTTCTCAGGATCATTGCCTTGCCCACCTTGTTTGTATAAATGTATGACTTTCCTCAAGTTCTCACTTTCCTTTTAATTGTGTATACCTTTCTATTTGTATTTCTTCTTTTGTGTTCTTATACTAACGAAACTATATAATATTTACACACGTGGGTCTGGGTTTCTTCCACTTATGAGTATATCTTCAAGTTAGACACTGCCTATATTCTTCATATGGAAAGTAGGGGAGACAATGATGCTTAGGGTTGATGAATGATGGTCATATGGAAAGTAGGGGAGACAAAGATGCTTAAAACAGAGTTTGAAAAGTATGCTAGTTATAAGGACAGATAAAATCAGTGCTCTGGGAATAGTGGTTCCATGCATTTTGGGCTCACTGAACTCTGGGCATCTCTGCAAAGCAGTTCATGAGGGCAAAAGATTTCTCCTCCTAGACATGGACTACAGGCCTATTCTGCCTTCTCCAGGAGAATTTGATATTTTCTCCTGTATCTTCTCAATATTTGCATGCACTTTGAGAAAAGATCCACTGCCCAGATGTCAAAAGAGGGGCATAGTGAGGGGATAGTATCCCCTGGCTCTTGTCAAGAGCATTCTGTGGTAGCCTACTCAGTGTCATACTTGGGGTTCTCTGGTGGGATTGTATGTGAGATTCAGAGCATTTCTGATACACAGATAGATCAGGGGTGTGCAGAAAGACAGGGCACCTATGTCCCCTGCAGGATGGGTTTGGCTTCTGGGGGCTGGAGGGGGTAACTTACCTGCTCTTGTCCTGGGGAGCAGAAAGAAGGCCAACAGAAGCAGGAGCAGCTGCATCTTCCCAAAAAAGCTTCCTGGGTGAGAGCTTCTGAAGCTTTGTCCTTGCTGTCTTTTATCCCCCAGCAGAGGAAAGGGGAGGAGCCTGATCAGTGACTTATGTTTCCCACTGGTTTTGTGATGCTTCATCATGGGAGGCTCTTTAAGTAAACACCCATGTCACGATGATTCCTCTAATGATATCTACGTGATTATGTGAGAATCATACAATGACCACAGCTGTCAATTCAGAGCGATTGCCTTTTGCAGCACACAAGATGAACTCAAGAGTATAAAGTGGGGACTTGAGGGTGGATTACTGGCAGCAAAGCCTCAGGAAACTGGGTTCCCAGTGACAGAATTTATAACACCAGAGATTTAAGTCCATCATCACAGATTCTGCAGGAAATGCAGAATCTTCTCCTTCTCCTTTGCTAGGAGTGAGCCTGCTGGAGAGGGAGCGAACCATCTGGTAATGGAGACAGAATCCCATAACCCAATTTTAGGAAAGCCATGGTACAGCAATGTACTAAGCAATAAGAAAGCATGGCCACCATGTACTAACTCTACATGGTGACTCTTACATCCCATAACCTCCTGCATAGTGTCCTAAACACCTCTTATTTTATTATGAGTATTGAGCATGAGAGAAACCATTTCTCTTCTCAATATATTTGAACAAAGTTTTTGCATGTGATATTTACTGGTCGACATGAGCAAATACTATGTTCTGCAGGAGTTCTATGTATGAATTGCCATACATTACTCTCTCTAATTTGAGTAGGCTGTGTGGATCCCACTAGAATCACCTGAACTAGTTATGGAGGTGCTTTGGGTGTATATCTGGGCACTGATGCCTTTATCTTTTAGGTCCTTCTGTGCTCTCCTTCCTGGGATGTAGGAAGTATGTTTATTGTTCAAGCAAGTCCTTATGCCATAGTGTTTCTGCCTTGGAGCCAAGGACTGAATCTTCCAAATCCATGTTGCTTCATGGACAGCTGTGTCTCTAACAATCTGGATTCCAGTGATTTGAGATTTCTGTTTATATATCTATATTTTACACTGTTTTCCATAAGGGCTGTTCTGCCCAAGAAGACAAAGTTTCAGTAAGATTTTTCCCTATCAGCAGAGAACCATCAACATTTATCAAATCTTTGCATGCTTTTTTCCCCTGTATTTAATATAGGGTCTACAGGGTGTACAGAGTCTCACTATGTAGATTCTCCTGTTTTCAGTCTCCCAAGTTCTGGGATTACAGGCATAGGACACCAAGCCCAGTCTCAATTGTTGTCTCAGTGCACCCTGCATGTGGAACCTGTAGGGCTCGACACAACACCCCGGGGATCAAACCCCAGGCCACTGACCTCTGTCTAAGCAGGCACTTTAGTCCCTGAGCTATCAGGCCTGCCCTATTGGTATGTTTTTAATTGACCTTCCCTAATACAAAAGAACTTAAAAAAATTATCTTTCTGATGGTAGATATATGTACTCACTGAAAATATTCAGAAAGTAAAAAGAAAAAATAGCATTTATTTGTCTATTTCCTCCAGACAATAGTAAAGTCATTAGTTCATTCGTTTACTACATAATGATTACACTTATCATGGTGAGAAGGTACATTACACAGCTTACATCTTATCTGTCCTCTTCCAGTCCACTATTTCCTCTACCTCAATCTCTTAATCCTCTTTCTCTATGAGAAAATCTATTTCCCTGTTATTTATCTTCTATTTTGCTCTTTAATTTATTAATACTTTATATTACTTATATAAGAGAAATCATGTGATGTGTAAGCTTGTGTGAATAACTAATTTCACTTATGATCTCAAAGTTCATCCATTTTTCTACCAGTGACTCATATTTATCTTTCTTTACCAAAAAAAAGAACCTTAGAATATTCAAATACTCTCCTTTCTTTATCCTTCTCTTGGGGGACATCTGGGTAGCATTCAAGATGTAGCTGTTATAAATTGTGCTCCTATAATCATGCAAATGTGTGTATCAATGTAATAACATTTCTTTAAAGTTTTCAGGAGGAAACCTAGAAGGGAAAGTGCTGGGGGAAATGAAATTTCAACTTTCAGGTTTTTGAGGAATCACTATAAGGATTTCCATAGTCTCCAATTCGGCCATAAAACTCATGTAGTGAGCATATTAAACATGATAGTACTAAGTATGCCATGTAATTAACTTTTTATTCTTATCTTTCTTATTGAACAGTAATATTATAGCATTTTATGCATTAAAAATTGGTCAGTACTTGTTCCTCAGTTTTATGAAAAAATTAACACGCAATTTATTTAATAAGTTGAAAACTTTTTTAAAAGCAACCTAAAGAGACAACAAATCAGCTAATTTCATCACTTATTGATGTCTGACTTTAATATCTTTAAGTATAATCTAATACATTTTTCATGTAAGAGTTACATTTTTAAAGTTAAAGAGATTATGCTAAAGACCCCAAAAATTTTTTTTAAAACTGAGGTGAAATGAAACTAAAATATGTGTCACTTTTTTAAAGCATTGAATGCAGTAACATTTGTCACACTCAAAATGTGCATCTAAGCTTCAAAATTTTTCTAACACCTCAGAACATTGTTTCACTATTAAAGAATCACTCACAACTTCACTTTACATCAGTCTTCTCCACACCAATCTTTATCTTTATGAATTTGACTCTACGTATTTGTTTATTCTGAATATTTGCATGATTGGATCATATGTTGGAAAATATTCCTGCCATCTGTGTCTTTCAATTGGCAAGTTTAAACTACTTACATTTAAAATGATTGCTGATAATGTAGGACTTATTTTTGACTTAGGCTACTTCCTGTTTATGTCATGTAGTTTTTGCTACTCAGTTCTCTCAATAATGCTTAACATTTTGTATGGTGGCATGTTTTAAAAATATCTGGGCCTACCTCTGTTGACTGTGGTTTCCCCCAACCCAGTAGCACTAAGAACTGAAGCCAAAAATTTGGACTGAGCTAAACCCTAGGTATTCTTGTATTTATTATTTTTTTTAATTTTAAAATAAGATTTCACTAACTTGCTTAGATTAGACCATACATTTCTCCATCTTCTTTTTACCAGTATTCTGTGATTACAGTCATCTTCCACCACCCTAGGCTCATCACTGATTTTTATTTCTCGTTTTTTATTTTTATATTTTTGTGGAACCAGGGATTGAATTCAGGCCCTTGTGCTTGCCAGGGAAGTGTTTATTCCACTGAACCATCACTCCAGCCCCTATCATTCGTTTTTGAGGGACAACTCTTCTAAATATAGAAACCTTGATGATAGCTTTTTCCCTGTACATTGTAAGTTCATCATCTCAGTGCCTTTGGCTTTTATAGTTTGTGACATGAGGTCAATTGTTAATCATTTTTACATCAATTTTTCATAGAAGACTTTTGTTTATTATTTTTTAAATTTTTAAAGAGAATAAAAATAGTAAGTGAACATTAGAACTGACACAAAATTTCACTAAACAAGATGATAGAAATTTAACAATTGTTCCGTATTGAATAGGTTTGTTTTCAAATTCATTGTTCAGATTACAAGATATAAGCATGCAAAATTGGTCAAAAATGAAAAAAGAACAAAAATTAATGTAAACATTAACTGTTCTTTTCAACAGGAACCTGTAGAAATTAATAGTATTATTATCCCAGCTAACCTATGTAGTACAGCCATGTTCATTCCGCACAATTTGTCATATCTAAATCATAGAAATAACTCAAATGCTCATCAAATTAGGAATGAATAAAAAACATGTGGTACTTTTATACAATGGAGCATAACTGAGATATGGGGGAAGACATGCTTGAGGATTTTATAGGTAAATGGATGCAACTGGAGTCTATACTCTAAGCGAAATGCATCAGACCAGCATGTGTAGAAATCATCTTGTCTTACTAGTGTAAGAACCTGAAAACATCAATAAAATCTGAAAAGTACAATAAATACTGTGAAAGGGAAAGAATCTAATCAAAAGAAAGAACTGGGATGAAGGAAAGGAGAAAATAAAAAATGACGGAAGTTTCAACTCTTAATTTTGGTATGATTCATTTCCCTGGGGAAAGTCACTTCTCTTTTTCTGTTTTGAAGATTTGTCTCTTTGTCTTTTAAACTAGCTTTATCATTAAGATGGTTTTGGGGTTATCCTGTATAAAGACTTTTGAGCTTATGGGGTTTACATATTCTTGTAGTTCACTATGTTTAGGAAGTTTGGGGCCATTTTTTGTTGCAATATTTTGATATTCCTTCTCTATCTTGAACTTCATATATATAACATTCTCAATAATTTCCTATTACAATCTTAAGCTTTGTGTTTTTTTTCTTCTTTCTGTTTCTCAGACTGAGTCATGTCATTTATCTTTCATTTTCACTGGTTCACTCCTCTTGCTCAAATGTGAAGCAGTGCCCTGTTAGTGACATCTTCATTTCATCTGTCATAACTTTAAGCTCCAGGGGGAAAAAGTTTCTATGAATATACTTTACCTTTTTGCATGTTGTGTCTGGTATTCTTTAGTTTATTTCTGTTTCATTTAGCTTTTTCAGTCTTTGAAAGATAGTAGACTTAAAATCATTGTGAAGTTTATTCAGTATCTAGGATTTCCAAAACTTATTTTGTTTAAATTGTCTCTGTTTTTATGAATGAGTCATAATTTATTCTTTGTAGCTTTTTGCTGAAAACTTGACAATGAGTAATTGTAAATGTGGTGGATTCCTCGTGATGCAAAGGATGTTTGTTTTTCCACAGCATTTTGTTTACCCGGGGCCTGAAGGTCAGACCTTAGCTTTCTAGGAGTACATTTTTTTCCCTTATTGTATTTCTCAGGGTCTCATTCTGTGTACATTCTTATCATGTATGAAGAATGTGGTAAAAGTTTGTTCTGTGGTAGGTAAGAGGAATGGTGCTGAATCACTTTTGAAAACCTCAAGTATAAGATTGTAAAACAGATGTTTCATGAAATCATATCTCTAATTTCTATCTATTACTTCTTGTATTATATACT